ATATCAAATTGTTTCGAAAGTAACCCACTACACTATTCTACATGACCGGGCGGGGGGATCTTCTTTTTTCTTTTACGTATAGCACCCTTGAGAAGCATTTGCACACATATTGCCATAGTAGAACTTTGTCTTGGTTTGCATTGTTCTATCACTTCGTGTAGGTTTTATTACCCAACTCAGCCACTACCTTATACTACATATTGACTGAATATTGTTATTTTCCATCACACATTATACAGATGAAAATATTGGTTAATTTCCAACCAGTAATCTTTTATAAGCAAAAATTATGTATGCAATAGACATCGTAGTGACTGATTTGGTGTGGATCACAACAGGGCAACTGGAACTCTCAGAAGAAAAGGCAAGGCATCACATTACAATACCATAAACATAGCCACAGCCTTCTTTCAATGCTCAAATTGATGTCTACCCTATATTACAAGCAAGAAGGGCCTAAAGAATTGTGCGGGAATTTTATAATGTGGTACGCTACTGTGAGTTTCTCTTGGCACTTTTAAAGCATTTTACTGTGCATCACTAATGTGCGATATGCTAGCTAGGCGCAATTAATACCACGGGGGTGCAGGGGGCAGAGCCCCCTGGCTAGGGAATAAATAGATCGTAGTGTATAAATCTCACAGGGTTAGGTTAGGTTGGTTTATTGGTTAGGACGTATTGTACGATTACCACAGGGGATCTGGATTATCTGGAATCCTGTAGATTTTTACCGATGGCTGGGTTTGATCCCTGTAGAGTTTTTCGAAAATTGGCGCGCCGATCCGTAGAGTTTCAAATGTGGCGGGGATGTCCGTAGAGTTTTCACAGGCCGATTTTCATCGTTTTTTGTGCTTTTCGGGACGGAAATTTGGCTCGGGTTTTTGAAAAATCTACTTTTTTACGTTTCTTAAATCACTTTCTTCGATTTCTGCAGGTTTCTATCGACATCCAGCGCCATCCATTATCCCCCCCCCCCCTTCAACCCCCGGTTCCCCACGCATCCCCCAAGATCGTTGGGTAGAGGAAACTTCAAAAAAATCTCATTTTGAAACTCAGTCTCTGAGAGGGGGCGTCACTCTCGGTAACAATTACCATATGTATGTATTGAGAATTTGATAATTAATCAAAAATGGAGACCCGATTGCAAGCAGTGTGAGATCAGGCAAAAGGATTCGGGCAAGTTAAGGGTCTTTGATGTTGAATGGTGACGGGAAACTGAAGTCTCAAGCCTATTCCCCCCTTTAGATGGGAAAGAGAAGGCCCTGCTTCTGCCTGCCCCAATTCCTCATCATGAGAGTTCTGCCAAGAGTGAGTGGACAAGGGCCCAGGGGATAAGGGATTACTAAACCTTTGCTGCTGGCTACAAATTTATGGGAAAACTTTCTGTACATGTCAACCAAGAGTACACTAAAATAAGTGCATGGAGTGGTTACCTTGACGAAAACTAAGACACTTTCCATCTATTGCAAAAGGTGCGGAAATATAAAATAACGGAGATACAGGATAGAGAAGACAGAATATGGACTCTTCATTTTCTAAGTCCCTTTTCATGTTTACCTCGCGAGGATCAAAACAAATGTGATATGTAACTTTTTACTGTGATCCATCAAGTAGTCCTTGTATTGCTACGCGCTTGTGAGAAAGGATATTTTGTCATTACTAGCGTCTGTTTCTCCGAATTCATGTATGTAATGCATTCTTCTAGTTTTATTTTACTTCTCTTACGTCTTTTGGTAATTATATATGCTATTCTGTACAATAACCTTGTGTGCATACGTGTTTTCACCGGGAGATTTGACAGGCTGTCTCACCGCCATATGTTAAGAAATGGCGGTGAAAAAGTGCTGCATCGACTTTGGGCCTTTTTAAAGCCATATTGTGGGTATACAGGACAAATAGACATTCTCACTTTTCTAGTATTCTGGAGTCAGTTTCAACTTGTATATAATTCTGAATATATAAAAGAATAAGACCAACAGGGTTCATGTATGCCCCCCCCCCCCCCCAGGTAACACCTCCACTATTTAGGGATGTGGGATGGTGGAAATTGCATTGTGGAATGGGAGCCCTAAATTTTTGCTGATAAAATTATCTTGCACGATCCAGGCAATAGTGTTATGGCACTTTTTGGGATTTTAACCCTATGACGCCAGGTGTACAAAACAAAAAAAAAAAAAACAAAAAAAAAAAAAAAAAAAAAAAAAAACTGCGCTCTAGCAAACAAAGGCGGGATGCCGACTTTGAGCGCGTGAGTAGGGGACATCAGCCTGAATTACTGACTCGCCGTGCTTTGGCTTGCCGCCGTGGCATACAGCCACACGCCAGCTTTCAAGCGGTTTGTTTTCATGCCAATCGGCGTCACCCAGCACCAAGGGGTTAATATAGGATAAATATTAATGGTGTAAGATTTAATCTGATTGTATGGCCTCTTCACCTTCAGCACCCCAACAGGACCAGCCAATAGGACTTGGAGTGGTTCCCTATTTGGGATCAAACCCCAGAGTTGGTCTACAAGTTTTGTTTTGCCAGAATGTACATGCTGGAGTTTGTTTATCTTCTGCCAAAGTGCTGAAGGCATGGAATCAATGGCAAATGCTTGATGTCCAGGATGCAATTGCCAGACCCAACCTTGATCCCAGAACTATCTCCAGTCACCCAATGTGCTTTGGCTCTTTTCAGTGGTGCTCCCCAGGGCTTAGTGTGAAATATTTTTATTGGTTATGTGAATACACAATAATGCAAAATGTACTTCTTAGATCATAGATTACAAATCAACACTGTTCAAAAAATTTGTAGCAATTAGAATTGCAGTTCTTTCATTTAAAAAAATTACAATGGCTCTGTCATTAATTTTTACTTTTTTAGTGACCTTAATAACAACATTAATATTTCACCTAAGAAGCTGTACGTTATTCTGTAACTAATTTTATAGAATAAATATTTACACAAATATAAAGTCACTCACAAAGAGAGGAGAGATCTACTCTCACTAATATATAGGATAGTCTGCACTGACATAAAATAACATCAGAACTTTAAAATGTTGCAACATATGCAGTTCATGGTGATTGGGTATGGGCCCAGCCTATCCTTGCTTTGCAGCTAACAACTTCCCTTGGGCAAATGAGTATAAATGGTCTTTGCACAGATAGGTCAAGTCATAATGAGTCATTACCCTTTTCTAAAAGGCACACTTTTTTATCTCTAATATGGGAAATATGGTGATTAGGTGCTCGAGCTCCTGGCTAGGAAAATACTGCTATTGTATTAGAGTTTAGGGTTTGGAAGGTTTTTGGTTCGTATGACAAAGTTGGGGGGGGGGGGGTAGGAATATATAAAGTTGTTGGTTGGGATGGAGGCATTCACGTTGTAAACAATTACAATTTACATAGTTGGGTAATTTTTACTCATCACTCAATTTTATAAACATTTTTCAGTGCAGCTCCTACTTATGCCTGCTCACATTTTATAACTACATCATCTGATCCTTCTTATTTACTTAAAAAGGCATATTCATGACTAAAGGAATATAGGTATTACAAAAATAACTGAAGCATTAAAGGAATTAAAACATTTTTTTATTGTGAAGTTCTTTTATTGCATGTAACATGTTACTTATGTAACATGCTAACAAGTGTTGTTGCCTCTTATATATCAATATTGAGTAGGCTATAGTATTTCAAGTCAGCAAAAAACATTATTAGCAATTATTATAGCAGGGATTAGAGCCTCTGTGCCTTTCAACATTCTAGCAAAGGCAAACCTCCAAAAAGCATGTATTGGGAATAAGTAGTTTGTAAACATTCCAGACAATTTATAATTGAATAAGGAACTAGTGCCCAAATATATATGGTATCAGTTTGTTTGTCTTTATGAGAGGCAATTGTTTGAAGCTTTGCCACTTCATTATTACCAAGTTCATTATTGTCAGAGATGCATTGCTTTCTTTTAGAATTTCCTATTTTTCTTCACAGAAGACAAAAATAAGGGCGTGTAATTAATCAGGTTAAGAATGTTACATTAAAATAAAAACATCTGTAATAGCCATAAAGAATGCAAAATACTTTTAAAAGTAATTACAAATAGAAAAGGTAAACCTAAAGTTGCATAACAAATCTACAGATCTTTGCATCTTAAATTTGAGGCCTGTGTGAAGATGGAAAAAAAAGATAGTACCCGTAAAGAACATTACCCATCAGTGGGATTTATATGTACAGACTTTATTTTGACCCAACCCCTTTTCCACTTTCTAAAGCAGACTACGACGAGTTTCAGTATTTGATGATGTGATACAAGCTACTTATGCCCATTTTAAGGACTTTAGTAAGAGCTTCAGATTTTTTGATTGGGAGATTTTTATTTGCAGTGGAATTATAACTTCAGAAAGACATATTGAAGTGAGAAATATGCATAGTTATAAATTTGTAACTGCATGGTTTTAATGACAAGCTATTCTTTTTTAGACATTAAATAGTATTCTTCCATTTTTATACTTTTTAATTTATTCATTTATGTCTATTGCAGTTGGGACAAGAGCCCTTGGCACATCTGCTCCCCAGCTGGCTGTGGCCAAGACAAAATCGTCGCTCGCAAAGCCGGGGTTGAAGAACATTGTGCTGGTGGATGGAGTGCGCACGCCTTTCCTCATGTCTGGCACCCAGTATAACAAGCTGATGCCACATGATCTTGCACGACAAGCCCTCAAGTAAGGTTTAGCATTTGCATATTACTATTGGAGGTGATATTTTATTTTATTTATTTATTTATTTATTATTATTATTATTGTTATTATTATTATTATTATTATTATTATTATTATTATTATTATTATTATTATCATTATCATTATTATTATTTTATTATCATTATTTTTTTTTTTTTTTTTTTTTGTGTGTGTGAGGTGATGACGATGACTATAATTGATTTTTTTTTTTTCTGAATTATTTTGTATATTTTTTTCAAATTCAATAAAATTGTTACAAATTATTTTTACTGTACACATTATTGCATTAGTATTTTGCTCAAGTGCTTCCTGAATTTGTTAGTTAGGTTATAAGGCAAATGTGGTAAATGTCAAATTAAATAATTCATGTGAAGAAAGGAATCTTAAAGAAATGTAGAAAAAAATAGGAAATTCTATAAAGCTCAACAGACAAGAAGTATTTCCTTCAACAAGATAGTTTATGTATCAATTATGTGCACAATTGTATTAACTATGTGTACAATTTGCATTATGTTTCTAAAGTGGAACTAAAATGGCACTTCAGAGGACTGGTGACTCGCACTGGACTGGACAAGACCGCAGTGGACTACATCACAATGGGCACGGTCATTCAGGAAGTCAAGACCTCCAACGTTGCCAGAGAAGCTGCTCTTGGGGCTGGCTTTTCCGACAGGATTCCTGCGCACACCGTCACCATGGCATGCATCTCCTCTAATCAGGCTCTTACTACTTGTGAGTTTCTATTTTTTTGATGTGATTAATGATACTTTTTCTGCTTATTGGGGGGAAAATAACTTTCTTTAGCCAACTATTTTTGGCAATTTTTTTTTTTTTCTTTCTTTTTCTGGCTGGTAATATTAGAGATGTGTTATAAACAACCAAAATAAAAAATATATTCATATTTTTTCACACCATGTTGGGCTATAAATTTCCATAATAAACAAAAGTAAAAAAAAAAAAAAAAAAAAAAGTATTTTGCTCAAGTGCTTCCTGAATTTGTTAGTTAGGTTATAAGGCAAATGTGGTAAATGTCAAATTAAATAATTCATGTGAAGAAAGGAATCTTAAAGAAATGTAGAAAAAAATAGAAAATTCTATAAAGCTCAACAGACAAGAAGTATTTCCTTCAACAAGATAGTTTATGTATCAAGTATGTGCACAATTGTATTAACTATGTGTACAATTTGTATTATGTTTCTAAAGTGGAACTAAAATGGCACTTCAGAGGACTGGTGACTCGCACTGGACTGGACAAGACCGCAGTGGACTACATCACAATGGGCACGGTCATTCAGGAAGTCAAGACCTCCAACGTTGCCAGAGAAGCTGCTCTTGGGGCTGGCTTTTCCGACAGGATTCCTGCGCACACCGTCACCATGGCATGCATCTCCTCTAATCAGGCTCTTACTACTTGTGAGTTTCTATTTTTTTGATGTGATTAATGATACTTTTTCTGCTTATTGGGGGGAAAAAAAAAAAAATTGACATCTTCCATTTATTATCTTTTTTTTTATTATTATTATTTTTTTATACTCCTTTTATTAGTTCCAATGGACGAGTTGAAATATTCAAAAAAAGAAAATTTTGTGCCAATATATACAAAAAATTAAAATTTCATTGATACCAAAAGTAGTATTCTTTTTACTATGTAAAATGTGATATAGATGAATTAACCCCTTAACGCAGGGTATGCCGATAGGCGTGAAAACAAACCGCTTGAAAGCTGGCATGCGTGTGGCTGTACTCCACGGCGGCATGCCAAAGCGTGGAGAGCCAGTGATTCGGGCTGATGTACCCTACTCACGCGCTCAAAGTTGGCGCGCCGGAAGCTTCCATGTACAACAGAAAAGAGAAAAAGTTAGACTTGGTTAAGGACCAGAACATTCTCATTCATCTCACGGGTTTGCTTCACCTCAGAGGAAAGCCATTGGCAGTGCCACCTTTGTTTTCCAGAGTGTAAATTTTTTTTCTTCTTCTTCTTCTTCTTCTTCTTCTTCACCAGGCACATTTGGGTTAAGTTGTACAAAGTTATATAAAAAAAAAGAAAAAAAAGTTATGATTTTTTATCTCTACCAAAGTCCAGCACAATCTAGGGCAAATCTCTCTTTTTTTTCTGAATATTTTAAGAAGAAAAAATGTCAAAAATATGTGATGTAACCCTTATTGATTTGGGCTGATGTGCAAATGATTGTACGGATGATCAGAATAAAAATGTGTATGTGATAAATCAAACTCTCAGCATATTGAAATTAGTTTATTTAAAATAAAGTTCAGTTCTCTTGATTTTCCATTAAACTTGTTTGTGATGATATTGATTGATTGTCAATTTGACCTTAGATAACTATATTTACTTCAGTAAGTACAAATTTGATAAGGGCAGGCTATTAACCCCTTCCCGACGGGTGACACCGATAGACGTGAAAACAAACCGCTTGAAAGCTGGCGTGCGGCTGTACGCCGCAGCGGCGCGCCGAAGCGCGGCGAGCCAGTGATTCGGGCTGATGTACTGAACTCATGTGCTCAAAGTTGGCGCACTGCCATTGTTTGCCAGAGCGTAGAGTTTTTCTTCTTCTTCTTCTTCTTCTTCTTCTTCTTCTTCTTCTTCTTCTTCTTCTTCTTCTTCTTCTTCTTGTTCATGTCGGACGTACCCATCCGTCATTCAAGGAAGATGCGAGGTCTTATGCTAAAGCTGAACAGGGCCAAGACAATGGGTGAGTGATCTATCTTTTTGGCATGTTAAGCAAGGTTCCTGCTACTGCAGTCTTGATACTGGATCC